TTGTTTAAAGGATTATCCTCCGGAATGAAATTGTGCTAATTGTTAAAAACTATTGAATGAATAAACAAAACTGAATATTATGATAAAAAAAATCCTTTTTTCATTTAAGTTGGATAGTAATTTGTCCTAGGTTGTGTTATATTTTGCACTGACTCCAAAAAATTAACCCAAAACTGAACTTTCTGTAAACGTCTCTTTTGACAAATACTCAAGGTATTTGCCGTTTTTTTGCAACAATTACCTCGTGCGGAAACAATGTGTATTGAATTATCAACTGCAAACTTGATAATTGTTCTCCCAATTTGACATTGTTGACGAGTATATCTTAAATATCAAATCACTTTTAAAGTATCTGTTTATTTCAACACATAGATAAACTTAAAGTTAGTAGTTAGCACACTGGCTAAAAGAGCATTCAAGTGTAACTTATGATCTTCTGTGAAGTATCAAAGCTTCCCTGTTTAACCACCTAGGCAACCAAAAACCGAAAAATGCACGCGAGATTGTAATAACAAATTTCAGAGGTGCACTTTAGTCAAAACAATATGTTCCTTTCTCCATTGTTCGATTCAGGTGAGTGGTAAGGTTAAAACGCCCTTTCACGGCGTGGAAATATTAAGAGATGTATACAGAACCTCCATTGGTTGGGAGAGAAACTGCTAAAAAGTCCAGAGCATTAGGAAAGAACAAGTCAAAACAGCACAGTTTGAATTTATTGAATGGAATTGATGAAAATTAAATTGGATATGTATTCATTGGGTAAAGTTATTACAAGTTTGAAATGCGCAAATGTAGTTTTAGCTATGCCCAAAATCATCATGTAACTTCTTGAATAGCGTACAAACGTGCTAATTTTATTCATAATAGTTTCAAATTTTTGTTTCGTTTGAACTCAAATTGGCTTACAACAACTATCTAAGCTTTGAAAAAACATGTTATCAACGCCTTTTCTACGCTTTGTGAAAAACATTTGATACCAACATGCCCCTGGAGATCCGAAACAGTATATATGTCAATAATTGTTAACACAAGCTTTTTGTCCAGAGGGAAAAAAGACATAAGAACACCATTAGAGTGGGTGATAAAAGTCGTTGTTAAGACTAGAAGAGCACTTTTTCATCATTTAAGAGTTTCCTAAAGTATGCCTGGTGGCCTATTCAATTGTTACTTTCCTTCGGTATCCCCTTTGTGTATCATTTCAGTTGGAAAAAGGGACCAGAAGCCTGACAATAAAATTTAGTGCGAGTTTTTGGCCAAGGCTGGAAAAGAAACGTAGTCAAACTTTTGATAATTGCTCCTCGAATTGCCATAATTTATGAAGCAGCGGTTGAGATGAGAATAGAATTTTGCGTACACACAATTTTAAGTTTACCAGTCAAGGAAACGACGAAATCAAGTTATTACTGGAGACGAGACAATGGCTTTATATCATTAATTAGAACATAAACGAAAACATAGTGCGCATCATCTGATAAGTCAATTCAGTTTCCAAGCGGATGCTTTATTAGGCTAGAGAGCCCGCGTGTTGCTAGTAATTTCATAAAAACAATATAACGCATGCATTTTCTCCGGGCTCGACAACGTGATAAGCCACGCAGTATGTCGGGAGAACACTCGGGGAACTTATAAATAACTCACCTTCGGCAGCTTTCCCCGTTTTTTCCCAAAATTCCGCGTGGCTTATAACGTTATAAAGCCCGGGGAAAATGTGTTCTATTGCTTACGCAAACCATGAATATTTCATTTTAAAGGATGCGTGGACTGTTTTTGGCTTAAGTCAGTTAGTTTGCATTCGACCTATAGATTTCCCTCAACTTATTCACCAGAAAAGTTTTAGCAAAACCTTCATTTAACCTCGGCTAGAGATGGAGGAATATGGAAGTGGAGAATAGTTTATCCTCTTCCACTATTTGGGTGAACAAGAGACAGCTGACAGAGATCACTCCTTGGTTTGGTCGGCCTCCCTGTACTTCAGCGCGTTCCAAAGTAAACAAGGAGGGGCCAGTACTGTTTTGAACTCTAAGACTACGTTAACCTTAATCTCTTTTTGTTTTGACACCAGGTGTCTCAGACAAAGTTGTCATGTATTTTTGGAAAAAAAAATTCACCCGAGAGCCGGCAACTTGAACATCTAAGAGGTATCCCCCTATTCGATGTAATCATAAACCGTAACAGTGTGCTATTCGAAACACAAATTTGAAAATAGAAAGTGTTGGCCTCTTGATGGTAATTTCTTTCGGGCATGATTAAGTGATCAGGTGGTTTCATTTTAGCAATTTGGAGCAAAAAGAAAAAAGCATAAAACTTAAAGAAAGTTAAAACGAGATATCCCTCAGAAAGAGAAACTTTTCTGGTTAAAAAGACTTCTGTTGTTGGCGGCACGATCTACTTACGCGCCAAAACGCTTTAGAACAGAACAGAACAGAAATCATGCATTAGTTTCACTCAAAAAGGTTTCCAAAGTTTTGTAATTTATTCCACCAAAGCAATTAAGCTTCTGCCTTTTGATCTTTTGTTTTACAATTAAAAACGTTGTCATCAAAGAGGTGACTTTCTATGAAATTCGCCCCGGCTCCATATTGCATCAAGTCTTTTGCCAGGAATGACTAAACCTTAACAAAGAATGAGAGAAATAAAAAAAGTAAAGGAAGAACTTAACTGAACCCGCTGCACGTAAATGTGCGAATGTGCGAGTTTTTTTCTATAGTTTTCGAGTTTAGCGCTTCCCACGGCAAGGAAAAACCAAATAAATTTAGACATCTCGGAACAGTCGATCTTCTTCCTCACCGGTATTGTTTTATTTTCAGGTATTGACGTCTTCTGTCTTCATGTCCCCGCTGGCGCCTGATTCCTTCTGTTGCCTCACCTTATTCCTCTCTTGCTCCATGAGCTGTTTCCTCCATTTTATTCGACGATTTTGAAACCAGACTTTGACTTGAGTTTCTGTTAATCCAAGCTCTTTGGACAAATAAAACCGCTGTCCTCCCACCATGTACTGCTGGCGTGAAAACTCTCGCTCCAGTCGCTCCAGCTGTTCCACGGTAAAAATCGTGCGCATGCGTTTTGGTTTCTCACCGGTCCAGTCGATTTCATCGCCGTGTGAGATGAAATTTCCTGTGGCAATTAAGAAAAGAAATCGGATGAAATAAAATCGTTGAAAATGAGCATTTAAACACGCAGGGAAGGAAACATCTTATCAATTACGAAACTGCTATGATTAGCAGAGTATTAGCCTCAGTGAAGCAAAACATAGTAAATTGAATAATTAAATCAACGCATAAAATTGTAAAATCACTCTCAAGGTTGAAAATGTTCTTTAGCTATTATTTTAAAGAGAAAAATGAAAGCTGCTTTCCAAAAATGCTTCTATAATATTTGAAACTTTTCTTCTTGAAAATAAATTTACCATCTCATTGAAACACCTGAGACTGACAGACAAAATAGCGAAAGAAGATCTTTGAAGTAAAAAAACAATCAGGAAGTTACATGGAATTAAAACTTAATTTTTGCTTGTCAGCGACTCAACTATTATTTATAAATCTACAATTCGATGCCAAGAACAGGATTTTTTCTTCATTTCATTTTTGACAAAAAGGAAAAGAAAAATATATAAAAAAAAAACTTAATCTTTCTTAACCATGCAAAATATTTCATCAGACTTTATCAACCAAAACGTTTTCAAGAACTCCGTCCACATACTGTCTACCACCGTAAGCAAACTACTATCCCAGAATTTAAGCACTAGGAAAATCTTGATGAAAATCGATGATTATTCTTAATATTTCGCGTCTAAGCAATCCAAAACTGCAATACATCCAAATCAAGCACTCACATATGTAATATTTTTTTATCGGACTGGCGGCTAACTTAAAGTTCATAATTTTCAAAATGTTGCAAAGTCGTCAGACACGAATCTAAATTAAACATGCTCAGATCCAAAACAATCGGAAAAGCCAGATTATGTCTATAACTTTTTTCACCAGCTCAACATTTTTTGTGGAGAAGATCATACACTCGACCTACCATTTGTTGGGACGTTTCCTCCCACTAACAAGGAAAACTGCTCCATGCCATAACTCTGCCTTCGCAAACTTCCCAGATAACTTGTCCCAAAGGGAAAGTCTGATCTCTCGCTCTGAAACTGTGTGGTAGAGTTACTTGAGACTAAACTCGCGTTCACAGTTGTAAATCTATCTAAGTTCGGTTTCACATCAGGTTTTCTTCCGTCCTTTCGACTGAGAATAGATTCGATTGTAAACGAAGGCCTTCGAGCTTCATTGTTAGGCTCGACCAGAGAGGATTGGTTGTTCTGATTCGGATCACGGGAGGTGCAAATTTCACAAGTGCACTGCTGAAAGCCAGGCCAATAGATGGGCAAAAACTGATTTGTGATAGTGTTCCTGTAATCTTGCATTTGCGAACCGATCTTACCAGGCAATCCAAGCCTGAGTTTGTGTTATCTAGTATGCAATTCTTGGCTCAATTGTGCAGGCAGGAAGTTCGACAGCTTTTAAACTCCCTTCAACCTGATGTTTAATTTGCAGCGTGTACCGACTTTACTAAATATTGTGAACACTTTATAGGCGAATGATACAATTCAATAATTCATTTTAATCTAATTAATCTACAGGCATGCTGGTTTATGAAATACCGGCTGTAGGGGAAATCGTTTGTGATTTCCTGTTCAATTGTCAAATTACATTGGTACGTGAACAGAGTGAAAATTGGCCAACGATGTCGGAAAGGACTGAATAGAAGTCATTTTTTTTTCCAAGTTTGATTATTGATAAAGAAAATAAGCATATCTTGCTTTAAAAGAAATAGAGATAAATTATTATAGCTGTACAATCAACAGATGATTTGAAATAAACACATCGCCTGATCTTTGCATGTGGTAGTTCCCTAATTAGAGACCGCAAAATAGCAATTTAAAACTGCTTGAAAGACTTCTCCTGCGCTAATTGCCATCGTAATCTAAATGAAAATGATTAGGAAGAATTAGTCAAAACTGAGTCTAAACTCAGAAAAGCATAAAAAAGTCAAAAACTAGGTAAAGAAAGGTGAAAGACTTCTTCTTGTCTTAGTTCACTGACGAAAAAGGGAAGAATCGGCAAACTGAATTCGAGTGAAAAAAATGTGCTTTTGATACATCTGTGTTCTTTCATTATGTTTAGATTACCGGCAGGCAGTAAATTAATTTAAACCGCAGGTTGTTTCGCTCTCTTAATAAAAGCTTTCCTGTTTAATTTTGTGTTTGAGAGGAAGGACTTTCCATTCTGGTTCTTGAACAAGTTTGTTTACATTAGAGGTGCAAACTGCGTTCATATATACATATACATAAAAAAGAAACAATGAAATTTAATTTTAGTCTCCATTCAAGTTAGAAATTAGAATATTAATTGAGATTTCTAATAGAAAGATGCAATATGTGAAAATCGTGAAAAAACGCTCTCCCTTGCATTACCGTTTGTTAGACTGGTTTTGTTGCCTTACCTAATCTTTAAACAAAAATGCGATTAGCGGGTTTCAAACTACTCTTTTAGTCGTGACAGGAATTATAACTGAGCGTAGAGGCAATCGGAAAAAAGCTCATTATTTCAGAGCAAATACATACGGCCACAAAGCAATACGGGTGTAATGGCTCTCAAAACGCTTTCTAACAATATCATTAGACGACATTTTTTTTTTCTATGTCACCCTAAGGTTACTGTCTGCTGGTGTGCAGACACATTACTGTGTGAGGCAACGGTGTCAAATTTTACAAATTTGTTTCTGCTTCTAATTATTCGGGCTTTCCGAAGGAAACGCCCGAGTTATAAATTCGGCTTCGTTTTCTTTTTTCTTTTTTTTTTTTTTTCGCGTACAGTCACAAAAAGGAGTTCCACTACAGCGCATGCGTGAAGTGTATGCGCATGCGTACAATGAACCGTAGAGCGCATGGTTTAAAGTAATGGCTGCCTTTGTGGACAATTCGTTGCTTGATGTCGCCGAAGAAATTCGATAGCTATTACGCTCAATATACGTACAAAGTCACACACCGTTCGCGGTAGACCCACACTAAAACTTGTAGAGCGTTTTGGGAACGGGTCGGTCGCGAACTTTACGAGAGATCAATTCACGAGCGATCCTTCACGAGTGAACCATCTACTGAGAAATATAAAGCGAAACCTACTATATCAAACAAGCTATCTGATAAAATATCACAACACTGATAAAATATCGGGACCTAAATGATCCATTAAGATCACCGATCACTTCACGTGCACCTCCGCCAATGTAATCTATTGCATAACTTGCACTTATTGCAAAAAGATATACATCAGCGAAACAGGCAGAAGACTAGGTGACCGATTCCGAAAACACCTTCGAGACATGGAAAGGACTGACAAGGACACATCGAAACCAGTCGCTAGACATTTTAATTTACCTAATCATTCTAAGCAACATATGGCAATCTGCGGTCTTTCCTTACACTTAGGTAGCACGGAAAGCCGTAAAAATCTTGAACAAA